GTGCCTGCTGAAAGGGCCTTTAGGTGCGCTCCCAACAGGAATGCAGTTCTTCAAGTCTCTTAAGCCATATGTCTAATGGAAGCACTCTTTAAATAAAATATAATTAAATTAAAAAAGGTGACTGTGTGTGGGGAATCTTCCTAAGGCACCCAGGAATTAAAAAAAAAAACCACCACCTCTTCCCACTCGTATTACTTACAGGACCATCTTGTTCCTCTTCTCTCCAAAGTTAAAAATGTTGGCTAGTTAGGAACCTTAGCATACACGATGACGTAGTTGAGTATCATTTAAAAAACCAGAACAAAAAGAAAACCCTTGCTGAATGTAAAGCGCTATGTCCAGACAGCCTAGGTTTTGCTAGCTACACAAATACATCACGGACAACATGTAGAAATAGTCACGTTAATGCCGAGGTTTCCATTGTCAGCAAAAAGGTGTGCTATAGCCGTATCAAAAACTAGGCAGTCGCTGTTCAGAATGGCCGCAGCCACCCCGTCGTGGATGGAGCGGGGCGTTGCCTCCCAGGTCAGCCGGCGGCGGTTGCCATTCAGCTCCAGTCTGTATGCAAAGTTCTCCGCTTGCTTACGGGTGCCGATGAGCAGCACGATGGCAAAAAACTGCTGGTGACCTTCGTACTTCTCTTGTTTCTCCAGCACCAGCATGAAGTGGTGACCAAAGCACGACTGCATCATGACCCAGTCAACCGCCCCTGGAAGGTTAATGTCTGTGGCAAGAAAAACGATGTCTTCTCCCTGAAGGGTGGTAATGCTTTTGTGGGCATGCATGAGGTGGGACATCACAGCTTCCAAGGATCCCTGCCATTTACAGGAGGCACCAGGGCATGGGCAGGAGTAGGGACGATACTCACAGATGTCTTCGTGTTCTGGCTTTTCTGTGTGATGGAGTGTCAGAGAGCAGCCTGTTGTGGCGTACTGGAAAAAGACCAAATACAAGCCGTCAGGAAAGGCACCAGCACTAGCGTTCGCTGCTCCCACCTGCCAACTGGAAACACTGGTGATCAACCGGAACGCTTGTTCGCATTGCAAATTTTACATTAGATACTTCTATTTAGCCCTGGATCCAGAGCTGAGCTTTACTTATTTTTGTTTCCACTTAAAAATGGATTCTTCTTGTCTTTTGTGGTTGTTTTTTTTTTCTAAGGCAAGCACTTAGATAAAATGGATTGCAAGGCTGAGTTGTAGTTAGATTTGCTGTTGTAGTTAAATCTGATCGGTCCAGATCAGCTGAAGTGGTCCTGGTTTGGATTTTTCTTTTCTTTAAAAAGAACAAAGGATTCTAGTTTCAGCAAACAGCTACTAGAGTGAAGTATTTTTAATAGATATACCTTATTACCATCACAGAGCAAAAGCACTTCCATTAAATTCAAATGCAGATTCCCCACAGCTTTTTTTAAACACTGGAACAGTTTCAACACTGCAGTTGTGAGAAGTGGAAAGAGAGAGGACAATTTTTCACTGAGCATAAAGCTAGTGCACAATTAAGTACCATCTAACTTCTCTTAATGTCATTGGGCACATTAGAGCGTTAATTTGCTTTAAACAACTGGGGACGCTTCTCCTTTTTCTAGTCAGTTCAGCTGTCCACACTGACCATGTTGCTTTCACGCTACCTCCATAGAGAGAAAAAGGTCTCTCCTATTCTCCCCAAGAGCACAGCTTCCCCAGTCTGGAGGTAGCTGTAGTGATACCAACACCGCTAACACTGTCACACAGATTACAGATGAGTGCATGGCTGCTTACGGACACTATGGCACTTCCTTGAGGATGGATATAACCCAGGTATAAATGACTATTTCTGGGCTAATATGTGTGCAAGAAGTTTCAGCTCAAAGGGTTAAATGCCCAAGATGCAAATCACCCATGCTGCAAACACTAGGAATACTGGGAGAGAAACTCGGCCTTGTGCTTCTGGAGGAGCTTGCTTTATAAGCCATAAAGAGTTAATGTGAGCCTTCACTTACTGTGTCTGCCCTGGCTGCTTAATCCTCTGCTAAGGGCTTTATTGCAGGGCGCTGCAGAGGAACAAGGCACCGCAACATGTCGCAACAACAGCGACTCAGGTACGTGTACGCTTCCAGCCCCACTGGCCAGCTGGTGTTTCCCCACGTTCACACCCCAGCTCACACTTCCATCATGCGGTGTGCTGAAGAGCAGCTCCGAGTCTAACTTCATTAACAAAATTGGTAGGGATATACAACCTGCTGGTTGGGCAAAACCAGCTGTCTATGCGAAAGCAACCAGTGGTGACTATACGAGTGAGAGCATAAAAACAAGATGAGCAAATAGTGGTGGCTTTGCCCTTCGCTGGGAGAAGTACCTGTTCTTGTGTGCTCCCAAACCCATCACTGCCGGTTTCATTTGGTGAGGAACCTCACCGGTGATGGGAGACTGTGAACAGCAAAAACTGACTTGCCATCTTCATGCCGCTTGGCAAACATCACTGATCTTTATCACACCTCTAAAACCCTGCTTCATCTCTCCCTGTGTACAGGTAATACAACACCTTTGTGCTACCTGGCCTGTGCACCTTTTCCACTTCTACCGCGTCCGCCTTGAGACGGGGAGCCAGGGCTGCGCACGCTATTAACCGTGCGGGCGTGACATCAGTGCCCGGGCTGGCACGACTCTTTCATCAGCTGGCTTTTTCATTGCCCTTCTCATCATTTCTAGTATTCCATGCTGGAAGGTATTACGTACTTGTTTTCATAGTCATTTGTTTAGCACTGTATTCTCTTTCCTAAGAGAAAATGGTCAGCTCAGAGCTCATCGCCATATACATGGCCTAGTATGCCATGTTTTTGCCACCTATGTCCCTGTGTGTGCTGCTCTGAACTTCCCTGTGACAGGATAGCTTTCTGAGTGCCCTAAAGCATTTGGAAAACATCAGTTAAGCTTGACAGTGCTCAGCAGAGGCAGGCCAGTACTATCAACCCTGTAAACGAAGGCAGGCAGGGAGACGGGATTAAAGTAACTTGTCTGAAGCCTCATGGGAAATCAGTAGCAGATCTGGGAACAGACTGCCAAATCCAAATCCCTCCTGCGCTAGCCAACAGACTCCCTCCAGGTTACAAGTAGCTTGAGATACAAATAATACTTCTGGAAAGAAGAGACCTGCCTGCTCCTGCATGTGTGCCAGCAATGTTCAGGGACCCAACGAGGACAGACCTTCTCGTGCTTCTCCCTCCTCCAGTGCTCCGTAAAACATCCGTCCCTGCTTTTAAGATTCCTCCGGCTTTCTGAGGCATTAATTCAAGTTGGTAAAGGTGCTCAGCCCAGTCCAGCAGTGACCCTAGGGAGCTCCCCCAGGGACGCACAGTGAGAAAACGGCGTGCCTCTGTGCGTTCCAGAGCCTCGCACCAGTGAGGAAACCGGCTCAGTCCACTGCTGGCTGCCCGGCAGGGTGCATTTATAAACTGCTCTGCCAGCAGTGCTGGGTCTGCTGTTACGGCTCACCTGGGAAAGGACCAGAGCGCACTGTGTTGTTTCACATACAGCACGCAAGCTCTAAGCACACGTGCGGGTAGGGTGATGTAAGCACACCCCGGTGTGTAAGTCACGTCTGCTCAATTGAAAACAAAATAAACTGCATTTTATAAGAAAAAAAACCCCACCACTTTAATTATTAGAGTCTACTATGTCTTGGTAATAGGAAGTGTGACCTTATTTAGGTTTAGTATATTTGCTTAAAATCTTTAAAAAGACATATTTTTTAAAAAAAATTAAAGAAGAGCTCTGTAGAGGCAGCATTGGACAATATACAGGAGTAAGTTTGTATACAATAACAACATGAAGGTGCAATTTCTGTTTGCAAGTTGTTTGCTTACATGGGAAACCTGTCATGCTTTCCCTTGAACTGATGGTGTAGCAGCAATGGTCTAAGGACATAGAGCAGTTCTGCCTACCTCCTACCACCTGTCTAAAGAAAAATAAAGAAAGTGATTAGTCTGGTATTATTTAAGACTTGTTTGTTTATATACGGTCTCACTGTGCCTTCCACTTTTGAAATACAAAGCATTGGTTGTGAGGTGCAGAAAGACTTCTCCACAAGACAAAGTGTAAGAATACAGTGCAATGAATTTACTGGATTCACTTTTCTTCAAAAGGACCAGAAGCATCTGAAGACTCAGAAACATGGCAGTATCTCCAGTTAGAGATGCCTGTGGGCAAGGATCTTGGAAGGCTCTCCTCATGTGAGGTGTCTGTCCTAGCTTCCAAGATGCAGAGCATCACCACTTCTAGGAAAGCTCGTAAGAATGGGGTTTCAATCCCCTGAAAAATCAAGCTCCATGTACTTAGATTTTCTTAAATGTCTGTAACAACTAGAAAAGTAATTTCCTGTATTATAAGTAAAACTTATTGTTAGGTTGAATTAATCACAGCAGTGAGAATTCACTGGTGTACCTAGGTAGGAGTTTTTTGGTGGGGTGTTTTATTTTTCCTTTTTCCCTGTCATGCATTGCCCTCCATATAGCTGCCCAACTGGGCTGCTCTCAGTGTGTAAACAAACACTGAATTTGCTGTTAGATATTCTTTCCTTAGTGTTGGGCTAGTTTTTGCCTGCATATGTTGGAGGTAAGTTCTACTATAAACCTAAACGCAAGCAGGAACTGCCTACAGTTTCACACAGGGCAGATGAGGAGTGCTGGTCCCACATCATTTCCATGGCTACCCCAAGATCACTCAAGCATGAACATCTTTGTTTGTCAAGTCCCACCACAAAAGTCTGGCACAACACGGCAGGGCACAGATCTTGGCTAATACTCATGGTTACATGAGGACTGCAGTTCTGCCGATGACAACCAAGAACAGTCACAACTCTACTTGTTTTCTCGTAGACTTCGGAAGAAGTGGGTAAATCAAGAAATGCCTCTCCCACCTTATGCCGCTCAGTTAGCCAGGTCAGAGTTCCAAGTTTAGCAGCTACTGATCACAGCATACCTCACACAACTGCTGTGAAAATCTGTTCAGGAAGCTTCCAATTCATAAGATTTATTTTTGTTCCTAGCCAGTATTGGATGAAACCCCCAAAGTTACAGAAGAGACTGTATCCAAATTAAGTCAGCTTCATAACTAGAGAGCACCTTTATATTGTTTTCCACTTGCACTTACTTAAAAGATGAAAGAAAACCAACTAATTCCTTTTGGCACTCATTAATTAGGAGTTTGAGTGTGTATATGATGTGCATTTTCTCTTCTGCAGATTGCTTAGAGTACTTAAAAGGCATTTTATATTTTCAGTAACTTTACTGCGACTTTAAGATTTAAATCTTCCTATAGATTTTTTCCAGAAGCCCTGTAAAGTGCAGAGATGCAATAACTGTAATTCTTTCTTAAAGCATCTTAAGAAGAACAGCCCTCAAAGCAGCCATAGCCACGGGCAACACCAAACTCCCATTTTCTGTCGGCTCTGTTGTGTCTCAGTCCTACTTATTTCAAGTACCATTCACAGTTGTCTCTAGAAGTGCAGGACCCACCACCTATTTGTTCTTTCACATCTTCTGCAGCTCTGATTTCCCCCCTGAAAGCTTACGTCAGGTTCCCTTAACACGGTGAAAACCACAGGTGAGTCAGAGCAGGGCCAGTCCTGGCGCGCAGTGGGCTGGTGTGTGCCAGCTGCAGAGCAGGGCGGTTCTTGCCGAAACCCCTGGTGCTGCTGCAGGACCTGGTGGGCACCCACTGCCGAGGGGCTCGGTGGGTCACCTCCCCGCTGGCTGCCTGCAACCTACATAACACCGACTAAGATTACAGCGGGTTGCTGTTTCTGGGCCCAAGAAGTAAGGGTGAAAAGCACTGACGTGTGCTAATTTCACTTTGCAGCTCTTGGGAACAGTGAAAGCAGCAGAGCAGGAATTGTGTACAGCAGAAAAAATCCACATAAAAGAGAAGGCGTGCGAGGGAAGAGCAGACTTATT